TACCATTCGACTCACTTTCAAGTGCTGCTTCTACTCATACAAAAGTAAGCAAGATCATCCGGATAATCGATGTGTGGATTTCTTATTAATGGTCCTGGTAGATTCTGTTACAGGATACTAGGTCCTTTATTCCTGGGCTACATACCTTCACTTTGTTCGGTTGGTTACATCCCTTCACCTTGTTCGGTTGTTCGATGCAAGTGTCCCCTATTTCCCACTGAAAATAAAATATAAGAAGGGAAGTGGGGGTCAAGTTTCAGTGCTTTCCGAAATTACTGCGTCGGAGCCATGGCATAATGTTTTTGCTTGCGTTGCTGCTCATCCGATTGACATTTCAGGACTCGTCTGAAAGTGAACAAACTTTTTCACGATGCGATTCGATGCTATCGTTGGAGCGTTGCACAGCCAGTGAATTGCCGTTCGCCCTGTCTACGTCCAATTTGTTAAGTGCATCGGCAACAATAAAAGAAAATCGTGTTCCGATTGCAATGGCCATCCATGAATACATTCATGCTTGGTTCAAAGGTGCTGATCACAGCAAGTAGGCATTTCTTGTCTTCGCCCTCCGCATTGGACCCGGCTGTCGTAGAAATCGCAAATTAAAAGATTGTTCTCGAATCTTCTCGTCGGCGGCATGATTTTTTTTCTCTTTTACTAATGAACAAGCAAAAACGTTAGTAATTTGAAAACTTAAATTTCACATGATCGCACTTTCCCAGGACGTCAGTGCGAGTTTTTGGCACTGTGCTTGCATCATTCCCGGCTACCGCTGTCCCCGCTTTGACTGATCCCGGTTCGGATATTGATTCACTTATTTTCACGCTGAAAAATGCTGAGAAGATCAAAACCATTCTTCCATTTAAACAGGTTTGTTTTGATAACTACAGCCGGGATTTTCTCACCATTCCTGGTAGGAGATTACAGGAAAATCTCATTTAACATACGTTCCAGATCATTAACAAAAAGGAGAAGTCAGTTTGGGATGAAAAGTTGGACGAAGGTAGGCTGACTTATCCAAACCATGTACTGGGCACCTGCTTGGTCTTGTACTTCATTTTGGTAGTGTAAACATCT